CGATATTTCAGTGTATCGATATTTTCTTACACCCCTATTATCAATCAGTATATAGATATTGACTATACTGTTGTGCAGAACAACACGAGAACTGCTTTTAATAGGAATGAGAAACTGCACATAATCAAGTCGTTCATTTTGTATAAAAATAAAAAAACAACATTAMCTTCAGTGCCTTTCATCCTCCTTCAACATGTTCTTTGTGTGGAATGCACATTTTTTAAAATATTTATTCTCTGTAAGAGCAACAACAAAGGCTTTGCTCATTTTTTTTCCCCAACAAGGAATTCAATACGTAGACGATTTGGAAATGACGTCACTTCGACTTCCCAGTTCCCAGTTCCGATATAACTGGAAGGCACGATACTATTTGCACATATTAACTGCTGGAAAAAGCTTTTGCAAAAGACCAAAATAAGAAGAAACTTAATGGTTTATACCCCAATCAAAATGACCAATTTCTTGTTTTATGTTTAATTTTTTAGTAGGTTTGGGCAGCATTGGCAAAAAAATTTAATCATGATAAATTGTGGTATTTAGCCGATAACGATTAATTTGACAATTAATCCCCTGGAGTCCCTGGACACCCTCATGTCCTGATCACATGACCAATTTAGTGGGAAAGATTTGCTCTGCATAAAAATCTGTTCCAAATTGTGTCAAAATTACAGACTTCAGGCTGTACATCAAATTTAAATTGTGTTGATAGATAAATAAGTTACAGAACTTTTGTTTAAATGTTCGTCATATTTGAAGCAGAGAGGAGCACCAGTCACTCTGCCTGGTGACATTAATCGTATTAATCGTCAAATGCCAAAAAATAATCGATTAATGTTTTTCTGACGATTAATTGCACACGATACGATTATGCCCAACCTTATTTCTTAGTAATTAAGATCTAAAAAAAAAAATGCAAGTGTTTGAACCAGTGACAAACATTCACAATATATCAGAACAGAACATAAACAGTTACTTTTTTTTTCCAAAACTAGTCTTGTCAATTCATTGATTTTTATGTTTTAGCAGTTTTCAAGATGACTTTCATCCATAATATACATTACATATCAGTAATCTGATCGAAATACATGCCTATTTCAATTCTCAGATTAAAGTAATTTAAAGATAATTCAGAACAAAAAAAAAGAATATGATCACCATAATTATGTTAAATGCAATAAAACACATTTTCTGATTTAAACCAGTTAGGTACAGAGATTTTTTTACGACCCCGGGCTGAGACTGAGCATCAAAAACAACTGAACTCTAATGGTAACACTTAATAAAATCAAATACATTGAATAATGTAGTTTTCTTAGCAGTTACACAAAAGAAAAAGAGCACAAAATTGTTTTTGGAGCTATAACTTGCCTATATATCATACTGAATAGTGGTATTTTTGTAGTTTAAAACAAAGAAAAAGTTTTCTCTTCGGGCTGCCTGTTGCTAGTGAAGCTATGCTAACTTTGTTAGCTAACCCTCCGAGTTGAAACACTTTTGGTAAATAAAAAAATAAACATCCCTCTCAGGATCTGAAGTGGTCGAAGCGTGGTGATTTTCAAKCGGTTGTTGGCATGTTGTGTAGCGGTGCGAACAAGTAATGGGGATGTTTATAGTGAGTCCGTAAAGAGCGTTAACTCGTGTTGCTTTGGGTTAGCAGGAAGCSCAGGCAGGACGGGAGAGGGCTGCTTCAACCTGCACACACTTTGTCCCGGGAGCGGACGGGGAAACTTTTCAGCTTCACCCCTTTAAAACAGGCTAAAACGAAGAAAGAGTGTAACTACGTCCATTTAAAGTAACAAAGAAAGAGAGAGAGAGAGAGAAAAGTTTCCAATCTCCACCTCTATTCCGGGGGCAGAGTGGGGGGGAAGAGCTCCACTTACCTGGTCGAAACAGCAGAGAAAGTACAACCATCGTCCACGATAAACAGTCCCAAAGCCGCCGCTTAGCCGTGATTTGGGGTCCGCTTCTCCCCATGCCAATCCATCCAGTTAGAATGGAGTTCCTCGACTGCTTCTCATCGACGCTGCGGCTGCGAGAGAAATCAGAGAAAACTTGGGTCTTTCCTCCTGCGAGCAGAGCGCTGTCATTCAAACAGGGGCCCCCCTGTCTCCAGGAGGGAGGGGTCTGAGGAGACGGGGCCTGCAGGGACTCACTGGCCAATGAAAGACTAATTATTCACCAACCACTTGGTTTTTTACATGTAGTTACTGCAGATGAGGACAGCGGAAAACAGTGGGAGAGCTGTGAAATTATCATTTTTCCCAGTTTACTTTCGACGACAGCTGGGGCCACACTACAAGATTATTTTATTACCAGATTAAAGTCATGATACTACACGTTTTCATTCACAAAAGAAGCAATTTCTTCCAAGTCTGTGTGGTTCTTAGACACAGTCGTTTGCACAATTCTTCCAACGGCCTAATAATTTCATGCTGGTGTGGTTTAAGTATTTCCTTGTTTGTAAAATCAAAATATAACTTCACAAGATGCTCAGCAATCCTCATTTTGACACAGATAACACTGCTTTTATGTGCAGGAGCTCTCATAATATCATGACTTTATTCTCATAGTGTTACGACTTTATTCTCATAGTGTTACGACTTTATTCTCATAGTGTTACGACTTTATTCTCATAGTGTTACGACTTTATTCTCATAGTG